CTCCCCAGTTCAAAAAAAGACTGGGATGTCCTAAAAGGAGGCCAGTAGAGGGCTACAAAGATGACAAAGGGACTAGAGCATCTTCCATATGAGGAAAGGCTGGGTCTGTTTGGCCTGGGGAAAAGACTGAGGGGAGATCTCAATATTTATAAACATCTAAAGGGAGGTGGGAGGCGAATGAATGAGGCTAGGCTCTTCTTGGTGGTGTGCAGCAACAGGACAATAAGTAATGTCCTAAAACTAGAATATAACAAGTCCCATACCAACAAGTGGAAGAATACCTTTATGGGAAGGGTGACAGAGCACTGGAACAGGCTGCCAAGAGAAGTTATGGAGCCTTCTTCTGTGGAGACATTCAAGACCCATCTGGACACCAACCTGTGAGACCTACTGTACCTGCTTTAGCAGGGGAGTTGGACTTGACAAAGTTGATCTCTTGAGGTCCTTTTTGACCCCTGCAATTCTGTGAGAATGTGAGAGGTGCCTGACGGTTTATGGAAAGCCATTGCCACTCCAGTCTCCAAAAAAGGCAAGAAGGAGAAGCTGGGAAACTAGAGGCCAGTCAGCCTCACTTCTGGGAAGGTGGACGGAGAAGCTTATTCTGGATGTCATCTCCAAGAAAGTGGAAGAGAATAAGGTTATCAGGAGTAGTCAACATGGATTCACCAGGGGGAAATCATGCTTGATTTCTCCAATAGCACACTCACCCAGGTGTGAAAATAGATATTCACGAGGAGAATGTTATAACCTATCAAAGCTAAGAAGTAACCAAAGACGAGGAAGTAACATCCCAAGCAGTTTTCATACAGAAATAAAAAGTCTGAACTTCTTATCATGAGTAGAAGCTTAATAATATGGAGGGAAAATTTCTATTTTTACTTTTCAGTCAGCTGCCCTGGTTACAAATGCACGTTTCTCCCAAAGTTTTTTGTTTTGATTTGTTTTGTTTTCAGAACAGATACCAGCTTTGAAGCCTCTATTCAAACACTATAAAAGCATTGTGAAACTACCTCTAGGTACTGTCAACAAACCTTGAGGTACTGCCTCTGAGCAAGGCTGCAGTTTCCAGTAAGTCAGTGACTACATTTCACCAGGTCCTAGAATTACCATTCACTCTGTCTGGACTGGATAAAGAATAATGAAACTGAAATAAGTGAAAGATATTTCCTAACAGAAAGATTAAATGAAGACAGAATAGTGAACAAAAGATTTCAAAGATTGAGTGCTCTCATACACACGAGAGTATATGTATAAATATAAATAAATATAAGCAGTTTAAAAAGTCTGTGACTATGCCAATAAGGCCATAGTATATCTAGATACTTTTCATTTGCTCGTGCTTATCTTTTTGGTAAACAGTAAAGAGCAATGAAAACTGCTTTCTAAAGTGATAGAGGTGCAGATATTCAAAAGGCAGTGCCGAAGACACATGTATAACTCAATCCTCCGCTCACTATCATGTAGTACTTTGTCACATACATCACAATAAACACTTCCAAGAAACTGAAACAAAGTAAATGCATGTACATTTTAGGGAAGACTAGGGAAGATCTTGACAGACCTGAGCTTTGTGAATTGGATCTTAGCCTACATCCTATTGGAGCTTCAAAATCATTCACAATCTGTGAGTGATCATCACACTCAGGATGTAACGTTTCCTTTCTCTCACCTTTTATTGACCTGTTCTTTTTAGATAGCAAGCTATCCAGAGTGAGATCAATAATTGTACTTGCATCCATACATGTGCTTACAAAAAAAAAAGTAAAAACCCATTCACGCAGATATATAGATACACATTATTTAGAGATAGATATGTGTATACATAAACATTTTTATGTATCTATATAATATCTAGGATAAAAAAAATTCCTTGTCAAAAGAAACCAACAGCTTTTAGGTGATACTGTAATACACACAACAAAAAACAACATATCTTGGCATTTTGAAAAGGATGCCCTTTTCCCGTATGCTCCATCTCTTCTGTCTGTAGGCCTTCAAAAGGGCTTTGATTATGTTTCTGATATATATTTTGTATCATTTTTGAGAATGGCTAAACAGAACTCAGTCATCACATCCTCTCAATAAAGTGAAAAGATAGAGAAAAAGAAGACTACTTTCATATAAGTTATTTACAGTTGGGGGTCATTGATTTTACTTCATCTAAATTCAACCACTATGTTTTTAGTCTTGAAATAATTATTACTATATATATATGTTTGTTTATATAATTCTTTTAATAACTAAGGTACCCTCACAAAATAGCAAATTATACCCTTTGAAACACTACAGAGTCCAAAATATTACAAGAAACACACTCACAGAGAAAACATTCAATCTACAAAACACTTATCTGCCCCTGAAGCATATGCAGATCTCCTTTTCTATTGTAATGATATCTTGCTACAAATATTTAGACCAATTAAAATTATTTCCATTTGAGTGGCAGCCCTATCTTCGGTGTTGTTCTAAAACAGATGTCACATTTTCTTCCTTTTGTAGATTCTTCTTTGATCCCATGAATTTTAGTTACCTATCATTCTTTGACTTTTAGACACCTCCCGACAACAAAACATTGGCAGTCCATGCCATAAAATAACTGCTGTTTCTTCTTGCCAAGAACAAACGTAAAAACCTCTAACAGCAAATCAATGTCTACGCTTTGTAACTAGTTTAATTATGGAAGGAAGAGGTAAGCAAATAAATATTAGGAGTTCAAGCTTTACGTTTGTCAGTCTTTTCTAATAGCTGTTCATATTTTGCACAGTCATAGAGCACTTGGAAGAATAAAACAATTCTCCTTGTAAACCACTATATGGAACTTACGATTACTTATAAACAATGCACTTCTGTATCCATAAAGTTTTAAGTATTTTCATGGAGAATCAGAGGTATCACATCTCACCTGTCCTAAGCCAGGAAAGCTTGGTATAAATAGTGCAGAATTTAAAAGCACTATACAATAAAGATACCAGTGTCTGACAAAACCATTATTTCACTGAGAGGTATGATACTTTCCTCTGAAAGGCAATAAAAAGTAAATTCCACACTGCACTGTACATAAAGAACAGTTAAAATGAAAAATTTGTTGTGTGACATCCCATGTTGTTAACAATATAGGCAGATCAAGATAAGTGAGTGGATTTGGATCATCATCAGAAGACACAAGGCCATATTTGCCAGTCTATTATGTCATGTTTCTTGAATTCATGAACCCAAGAGTGCAATATCTTTTCGCTGACATGATGGAGAAGTTATACTTTATACAGACTCTAAATATACAGGCGAGATAAATGAATTAAAAGCAGCAACCATATTGTTTTTTTAAAATGTTTTTAAACAATGTAGCATATGGATAATTTTGAAGCCTACAGCACACAAACCGTTAAGAAAATAGCAATGGAAAGCAAACTGGATTGACAGATGATTTACATCAAATTAGCCCTTATCTTTGAAAACCAAAACAGTAGAAGAACTTGAGTGAAAAAATAATGCTTTAGAAATTCTTTAAAAGTATCAAAATCACATGCACTATGTTTGGAACTGACAACTGATTTAGAATGTCATCCTCTCCCAGAAATGATTTCACCCCATTTGAAAGAACCAAAATACTTAAGCACCAATTACTATTCACATTTTTCTTCAATCCTTCCCAGATTTTTTTAAAAAATTGGTTCAAACAGTAATTCTAAGAGAAATTGGTGGCAAGGTTATAAGAAAATACCAGTTACACACACACACACACACACACACAAACAAAACCCATAATAATAATTTTATTATTTGACCAACCCATGATATAAATTAGCTGCCTTGATCTAATTGCATTTATCTTTACTTAGTAAAAATGTATATAATTTTGCACTTTCGAATCTATGCCTTAACAATATGCTAATTATACAGTTCAGATGATCTGGAAAGAAATCCATTTTGCACTGATGATATAAGGGAGTGACAGTACAATTTACATTAGGAAATGTTTTCTCATTTTTCTCAAAAATTGGTTTGCACTCAGCCGGAGAAATCTAAATTCGACCAACAGGCATCCCTCCCTGTTCTCCATGGTTACAAAATAACATGACAATCTGAACGATGAACAAGAAGCACATAAGAATGGGTTACAAAACTCCTCTGGACACAGGTAGACAGGCAGTCAATGTTTTCTTCTGTAATCTGATTCAATAGATGATTATTATATAGAACAATATTGAAATGCTAGTAGCAAACAATTGCCAGTGACAGTACTTGAAACATTTTGAATTTGCTGTTCCAAATGCTGAATACGGGGGCAGCTGGTCACTTCACATTCCTTACTTTAACTGATGACTGCTAGCTGGAGAGACTACAATAAGGTTTTCCCTTTTGATTTTAGCAACAATATACTACAGGTATGCTTTTGGCAAACATTTACCTGCAGCATTAATATCAACCTGTAAAGACTGAGCTTGAAAAACAGTGATTGCTTTGTTATGGTTTTCTTTTCTGTGTTCAAAGGATAGGGACAGCATCAACTGGAAGATTGCACAGTGAGAAAGCCACCTCTTAGCACATCAGCTACAGGCATCTAATTACATGAAATCTGAGGGCTAAAAACAGTCTTGATTTATTCATTTGGTTTGCAGCAATCTTGCCAGATATGTTACAAAAAAAAAAAAAAAAAACAAAAAACAAAACAAAAAAAACCATACCCATGAGTCAGACTGCTGTGTTTTGGATTTGTGGGGATTTTGGTGTGATATGTAGTTGTACAGATACAGCTGCACCACTGCTGGAATGTAGCCAGAGCCAACATAATAACAGTCAGTCAGTACTAAACCCGTACCTATGCACAGCACAGATAAACTTAACTCACTGTAATGATGTACCACAAGTAAGTCTTATTAGTATTTTCACAGTCACAAGACTAAAATAATCTGGTGTTCTGAAGTATAGATCCAGAGTTACTAAATATTAGTGAAAATAGAGGTTGAAACAAAAGAAAAATACCTACAAGGATGGGTAAATTAAGTAAATGATTACACTGTCACAACAACCATTTCTGCAATGTCATTTAATAAAGAATATTTATTTAAATAATTTAGAGTCAAACTATTAAATATTTCCATCAGACAATACTTGGCATTTTAGAAAGAACACTGCAGGTATAAGAACACCACCTTCAGACAACCATTTTCCAGGTTCTATTTGCATTATAAATGTATTTCTCACAGGAAGGAATAGAACTTGAACATCAAATTAAAAATAGCATTATTGGGAATCTTACAGAAAGTGTGAAGACAAAAGCATGTAAGCCTGAGGATAGAAAAAATCCATCATAATATAATTCTGCAAAATAAAGATGAGGTTAATCTGAAACCTGAGAAAATTAATATCAAGATTTTAATTGACCTCAGCAGGTTTCAGATTAGGCCCTGCATGTTCAACATGATGGCTCCGTGTAATTTTGCAGTGTTTCTCAAGAATGTTCACTCCGTTACTTCTTAACCTTCTCAGTCGTTTTTCGATTTCCATCGAAAACTGAGATGACTGGAATTTATTTCTGCAGTTCCTTCCTTCTTTGCACAAACGTACTGTCAAAGGCATTTTTTGAATATGCAAAAGCTAATTTTAATGATTACTGTTCTTCTTTAATTAAAAAATAAAGCCATGAGAAATGTGAAATTCTGCGGTGATTTTCTCCGAAATATTTTAAGATGGCAAACTGTGGTCTCTGCAAAACAAAAATTAAACAGGAAATCAGCGGTCATTTCCAATATACACATTGCATTCATTGTGTCAATCCTTACAATAAGAACCACTCTCATAGCATGTCAGTGGAACTGAAAGAATAGAGAACATCAGTGTGATCATTTAAAGTTCAATTCCAGATGAAAGATTTGCTTGGGAAGTGATGGTATATAGACAATATAAAATCTTCAAGACTATGTTTTGATTTTCAGATAACCAATTTTCAGGCTTTTCTGATTTTCAGACTTCATTGCTAGGATTCCATTGTAGACATTTTCCCAAAATTTTCTGAATTTTGGTTTTTATGGATAGAAAAAATGTGGGATTTTTGTTTTTTTCTCCAGTAGCTTGGAATGCCAATAACTTAACAGTTACTGACAATTTAACAGCTCTTTCATTCTCACTCTATTCCACTAAACCAGAAAGCCACCCTCTAGAAAGAGCGAATTTGATCAGTATTTCAACCTGAACACTTCACTGTTTCAGGCTTCATAAGCAGAAAACTAGAATGATAAATTAGACTCAGTATATCATGTCTCTGTTCACTTTCCTGGCACTATCTGCTTGAAGGCAAGAGAAGTCAAAATCTGCCAGTTGCTGTATCATAGTCATTTTAATGATACAAAAGCATGTACTGTGAACAAGTTGAGGATAACTCTTCACAGTTGCCCTTGTCTCTCTTCCATTTTTTCTTTTATTTTTCTTTTTATGGGAGAGAATCTTAAAATGTTTGCAGAAGTTGAAGAGAGAATAAATTTTAAAAAATATTTAGAATATCTATAATGGAGACTGATGCTAAAGGCAATGTGTTCTAGAGAAAATATAAGCATCTGAAGTACCCCTGTTGCAGTTATGGCCTCATGATTCAGGCATTTGACATGGCATACCTGAAAATTTCAGCATCTGTTCATGCAGGCTTGACTGTTCCCTTGCACTAGGTCTGTGAAACAGAACAAGGGAAAAAAAATCAATTCCTATAAATACAAAAGCTGTGTCACCTGTATTCAACACCAAAATGTGACACTGTACGTACACATGTATGCAAATGATTACCTGATTTCTGTTGTCCAGTTCCAGAAGTGCAGGCTGCTGTCAGTTTTCTACCTAATACCATTTAGGCATTTCTGCTGCACTACTGGCAGCCTCAGATAGAAGAATATCTGATGTGCAGGACTCCATCAAGTGAAATTCCAATTTGTCCTTTTTATCTCACGATTGTTGGACTCTGAACAAGTAATAATACAAAATACCTCTCACCTGCAAACGATTTACAATAACATAATCAATAATGTATTTGCTGTGATCCAATTTACAGTGCAAGAAAGTAGCTTTCAACATGTGGGAATATTTTAGAAGAAGAAATTCCAGCCATTATGACTTGTATTCTGCTGCCTTCTCCCCTTTCACAGATGTTTACATTCATAATAATTACACCAAGGCAACACTATTCAGGAGCTCATTTACAAAATCACCCACTACAACCCACTGCACACAACAGAACATTTTCTAGGGATCTGCTCTAGAGCTTTAACGTTTATACTGTTGCATTGGACTTCACTTTCCACTGGAAGGAAGTTGCTACCAATTATTTTACCTTCCCCACTCTGCAGGCATTTTGCATATAATGACATTTCTCAGGCATCAAGTCCTATTGCTGAAGTCAGTAAATGTAGAAGTACACTGTGTTTTGGACTTGTAGCTTGAAGAAGGGAAAACAAGCTGGGTAAATGAATGCTGGCCAGAGGACTGAATCAAAGCACTCTAAATTCATGATCTAAAGTGTAATACTGGACAGTTACCAACAGTTAGACAATGTAGGAAACTTGCTATTCCACCAAAACATGTTCACATATCTGAACCCTTAATTCTACATCATAATTTTTCCATACTAAACGATTTTCCATTTCCTGAGCTGCACATTATTAATTAGTGAACATAATTATGTTGTAAATCAGATTATCTGTTGGAAAAAATAATTGAGAGAAGGTGGGCCAGAGGGGGGGTGAAAAGAAGGGTTACATGGGCTATTTATGTACCCATGTATTACATATAAATGAAAGGAAGTGTAGGACAAAAAAAAAGGAGCAACTTTCTGGGGCTTCCCAGTGACTTTTCCTTTTTCTTTATTGGAAGTGTGTTCACATGCTCAAGGATATGTAAGATAGGAAATGCAGGAGTAAAAGCTGCTTGTGCCTCCATTTCCTTTAATGAACTCTTCTTTTTACCTCATTTGATACTGTGTGTTCCTTCAAGCAAACGTATCTCTTTTTATCAAACCATCTTAGTGTTACAAGTACAGAACTGATTTACACAATACAACAGAAGTTCATCTTAACTATACAGAGCATCCCTTTTTTTTTTTTTTTTTTTTAATAAGGGCCTTTTGGTTTTCCTCTTACACCTTTCTTTTTGTTTCCACAAGACAGTATCAGAGAATCATAAAATTCAGCATTACTGCTATCACTCTAACAGTGCCACAGACCTTGCAACTGAACCATACTTACACACTCCTATAGTAACTCTTCTGCATCTTTCAAGGACACCTCCCTGCTGGCCTCCCAACTTCATAAGGGCCCATGCTCCAGCATCCAGACGGACTGGCTCTTCTCCTTTATAACTTTCTCTGCATCCTATTTCTGAGGCTCCCTTCCTGCACTAGTTCTAGTTTAAGAACTTCCATCCCCTTTACAACTATTTTATAGTATGGAAGAGAGCCCCACTACATACACTCCTACTCCACAGAGCAAAACACTGGTTCTCCGTATGGGCCTGAAAGCAAGTTTTGTTTATTACAGCTACTTTTTAATGTGAACTTTTTCTAAGGCAAAGGTAGTTGAGGAGCTCATTTCTGGTTCGTCACAAGCTTCTTTGTCAGGGGACAATACTGACTATAGTGCATACCATTTATTTATTACTATTTTTTAAAGCTTCTGTATTTTTTAACTTTTTTCTTTTTTTAAAGTTTCCTCCATTGTATTAACATTTCATATTGAAGTATGAAAGTAAAATGCAATTCAGCAATTGCGGCAACTTGACAGCAAACAGATAAAAAAAATACTAAAAAATACCTGTACCTGCGAGCAGATAAAGTAGGAACAAGCATCTTGACTTTGCCTTACTCAATTAAAACCATTAACAAACATACATCCTTTTTTTTTTAACATTATTATTTTCAAAACATAACTCTTTCAAAGTATAAAAATTGATTGAATTTTTACTAAAATCTGATGATTCTAGATCCAAATCAAAATGATCTTTATTATCTTTATTTCTTAGCAATCATTCATTAATTTTATAGCTCTGTCAGGAAAAAAAAGTATTGCCTGGCAAAAGTTGTCACCTTCCTTCCCCTCTTTTTCACAAAAGTGTCCTCATCACAGTCTGTAACTGCTATGCACTTTTCCAAACTATTTAAAAATAATCTCAGTCCTAAACCCAAATTGTTTAAAGCATATATTCACTGATTAATATTTGCATGCACTGCATCATTGCCTCCATTGCATTTCCAGAAAAACAAAACTATTTTTGCATAGCAATGGGAGTATTGGGTATGCCGATCATTTCCACTGACCATTCCAACTCAAATAAAAATTCAATTACAAAGTAATCTTATAGTTTCAACTAATAAAAATGTAAAAGTAATTTTAAACCAAGAGCTTTTCTTGAGTTGCACTGTTAATAAAATAAGTGTTTTGCATAAAAATATCCTTAACAATTTTCCAAATGCAACAGATGGCTGTGCCTTCTCTTGAAAAACATGAAAACAATGTTATGCACTTCACAAAGAGTCCACCCATAAGCTTTTGTTCAGAAGATTATGATTAAAGACAATGGATCTTCCAAAAGCCATGTGACATGTAACATCAAATGAACTTCACTTATCCCCAGTTTCAACCCCAGCTGTCACATGTATCATAAAACATTGGTATTCTTGTATTACACCACTTCAAATTTCTCCCAAAGGATGATCCAGTCAGCAGAAAACTCTTCTCTAAAATATAAAAAGTCACAGTTGGTTGAAACAGAACATTTACAGGCCAGGCACAGAACACATTCACACACATATGTGAATTTTATCCACGCTGTCATTTGGTATTGGGGCAGTTTCACTTAATTAATGCTGTGTGTGTGTTTCTTTTAAATGCTATAGTGACCATTATTGAAGTTCAAGGCTCCAAGTCCTGCAGGGAATGCCACATATCCTCTAGATGTCTCTGGAGATTAACTCTGAGAACACTGTAATTCTGAGCAGGATCCGTTGTAAGGAGTCAATCATTATGTTAGCTTCATAACAGTTCTTCAATATTTGCTTTGTTGGAAGAAACAAAATATTTTAGTGCCTGCAGTATGAACTCTAAGCAACTTTCCACGCTTTCATTAAGCTATTACTTTCTCCAAGATGCATTCCCATCCAGAGATTTACCTCAACATTTTAGCAAGAGTACAGTATGTATTTTTGTAAACATTTCAGCTACTTACAACAATATTCTGCAGTTACCCAGTATCCTTGCATCTGTCACCACTGGAAACTAGTGATGTGGGCCAAATCTGCAGGGTGGGACATTCTCGGTGGGAATCTTGCTTACAAAGCAGAAAATTTCTTTACTATTTTTTCAGTATTCTTAGAATCATTACAGAAGTAACTCTCAAAATACAAATTGACATATATTTTGAACACTTTATTTTATGGTGTTTACTATCACAGTCATGGAAACAGACAAGTACGTCGTGGTAATATAAGTTTGGTTTTATAAGTGGTTGTCCCTTTGTATCAGAGCAACAGCTTACACAGACGAAATATAGCCTACTACACGCAAGCTTACTGGTAGTTTGTAACGAAAAAGGCAAAATTTATCCAAAGCCGGTGGAATCCCTTTGCATGGACATCAGCTGGCTCAGAACAGCCGCACTGGAAACAGCCCCAAACAATGTGCCTGCATTCACACGGACGTCCCCAGCGGAGCACTGCCAGTGCGCTGTGAAAACGTGTTTTGGGAACGATTCATTGGGCAGATGGCAGGCAGAAACTTAAATGAACATGCTTCCCCAAGAAGAACATGCAGATCTGCACTTTCGCAAGCTGGAAATGTTACAGAAAGTTATTTAATTGCAGGAATAGAAATGTCACACGTTGTATCAAACACAAATCTGTACTTACTGAAAATAACTTAGAACTCAAGAGAAGTTCAACTGTTTTTCAGTGCATTTGGTCTTCAACAATCATCAGTAGACACATTCGTTTATAATTTTCTTACGTAAAAGCCCATCATCAGCAGTGAATGTGGTCAGTGTTAAAAAAAACAAACATAATGAGTGAAAATGGCACACTGCCCTTGGCCGAGAGGAAGAGTCTGTGTGGCACAGTATAACAGTTATTAGTTAATTTATAAGAGCCTTAGAAGAAAAATTAATTCACTGATGATTTTAGCAACCTTGGTGCTTCTCCTGAAGTGTAAGTAGGGAGAAAAGAAAGAATAAAAAAGACACCTTTTGATGAGAGATTATGTAGTCTCCACAATCGAGTAAATTTAGTTGCTGTTGCAGCAGAGGAATGTGATAGGAAATTTTACAGTTGAAGGAGAAATGTCACAGTATTTTGATAAGAGAGCGATGAACTTTTTTTCCCTTGTGCCATTATCAAGGCGAAGTGAACAAAATACATCATTTATAACCCACTGCTCTACCATTATCTCCTGGTGAGACACTTGTTTTAAAACACACAAGGACCTTTTTTTCTCTAAGACTAAAGCTCTCTGTGAGGCTTCGTCTGCCTTTATAGCCATGAAAGAAAGTTGACACTTGTGTGGGCCAAAGTTTCCAGGCAACCACACAAGGGCACTTGTGCACCCTCCAGGTCACCCCCAGTTCTGAAGTACAGAGGAAGCGTATGAACAGCGCACGTCCCTTTGATCACAGATACCATCAAAAACTGATGTGGAGAGAAAATCCTGCGCTTGGGAAGAAAGTCACTACAGTCTGCTTGTGGCTTTCTCTTACCTAGTATACACAGGAAGTAAAGGTTAGCATGTTAGCGCAAAACTGCTAAAATAATTCCTCTGACTAGCCCCTCAGTCTCTCCTTCTCCAAGGTATTCCTGCACTCTTTTATTCTGCTCTTTTTACTATTCACTCCCAACATGACAGCATGGCTGTTTTGCCGCAGAACACTCATTCAGCAAACCTATTCTCAAGCATGCAGTTATGTACTAGCAAATGTGTAGCAGAAAAAAAACAGTAGTGGGGTTTCAAGCACAGGTACTTTTATAGACCCAAGCAAAATTCCACACTACTCCAAACACACAATGTTAACAGCGATCATGAAATAGACTTTTTAAGTTTATGTTGAACAACACAGAAAATAGGTGTGTTCTGAGTCCAGTGCTATCTAATACAATAATAAAATAAAATTAGACTGGTCATAACATCGAGTTATCAGAAGATAAAAGGGTATAATTTTCTAGATACCTTTAATCAGTCCTCAGATTGTTTATTTGTCTTGTGGTAAGGAAGCCAGATTTGGTAATGAGAAAACAATTAACTTATTTTATAAAAACAAATGAAAAATTTGTTTCCAGCAATGCCAGATGAATTTACCAGACCCCTCAGGTTATTTTGCTACTCCTACATGCAATGTGTTTAACAGCTACAATGGTTTATCTTGACCGTTAACAATGGTGCATTTGCTGAGTCAAAGAGGAAACAGACAGATTATACAAAAAAGGAGAACTCTAATAACAAAATAAAATGAAAAGCTCTTTGTTTACATTAAAAACACATTTACTTCTAATTAAAAAAAAAAAAGAAAAAACAAGCAACAAGTCTAATTATAACAAAACTTACTGCTTCAAGATAATTTCTCAATGCAGAAACATAGGATATATATTTATGTAAATACTTATCAAATTACAGCAGAAAGTAACAGAACTTGAACTAATGGTCATTTCAACTTTGTGCAAGTAGAAAGTGAGACAGAAAGCTACACATTTTAATTTCCAAGTTATTGGGAGACATATTCACAACCAAGCATATTAAAAAGATCCCCAAAACAAAAACTCACTGCTGTTTTCTTATGTCTTATTCATTTCTACTTACGTTAAAAAAGGACAGTCAAGGTTGTTTCTTTCCATTATTAAGGGAACATTCCAAAACTCCTGAACATTTTCATTTAGATAAAATTCCAGTTACTTATGTTCTGATTAATATATGCAAAAGCTTCGATCATAACTTAATTATGAAGATTAAGAAATATATTAATAAACTAAATTCAGGAAAAATCTGTATGGAGATGCATGCTATTACCATATAAATATTCATGTTCCTCATTGCACAACTCAAAAAAACATTTATTTTAATTGTAAGACATTTAAAATGTTTTGATGGATTATGCAATATTTCTCCTCCTGTTGTAGAAACACTGTCAGACTCATTTAGATGGATAGATGTTTGCAGCAGGAGAGCTTATTTATAATTCAAGACACCCAGGACTCTGAAATAAATGAGTTTTTAGTGATACATTCTCTCAAAGCTTTAATATAAGGCTTATGATTTAATTGCCACACTCCAAAGCTAGGGGGCAGGTCAGCCTATTACCAAGCTCTTATATTTAACTTTGGTGGAGAGTGATCGGTCTTAGACCAACATGGTCTCTCAAAACAGGATGATAAGTTAATTTCACAGTTATCACAAAATAACATATGATATTAGGTGGTAGCGACATGATAACTCCACTGGAAACAATGGTAATTACATAGTAAATCGTGTCAATGATACTGCATTATCTCCTAACTGTTCAATTAACTCGTTTCACCATTGCATACTATGTTTAGAAAGTTGCTGATGCAATATTTCCGTATCATAATTGCAAAAAGATAGTTGAACAAGATAGCACGCTATAATTTTAGAAACTTTCTAATACTACTTGCAAAAACTATTTCTGCTATGAAAAACAAGCAAACCTTAAGGTGAAGGAGACCTGCAAACGTGGAAGATACCACTTGAAATGGAAACAGGTTGGCAAGACAGTCATCAAACTAATTACTTTTTCTTTTTTCATGCAGGAAATGAGACATTAATTCATAAATCTAATTCCAATTGGTATGTACTGATCTAGCCAAATGGTAAAAGCCCTCAGCCATCATTAAAACAAGTATAAATTAAAACCCTGAAAAATGGAACTTTTCCTATGCTGTGCAGACAATCTGATAAATGTG